TGTATATCTTGTTGGTGTGACAAATAAATAAATAAAATAAATAAATAAATAATTAGATGTATTTATACTTTTCTTGATAGTTGAGAATTCATTATAAAGAGGTTATTCGCAAGATATGTTTGCAATGTAAAGGTATATTTTACATTGACTTATGGACAATTCAAAGGGATCACGAAAAATTTGTGAAATAAAGGAAGTCGTTATATTGAGGTATGTTAAGGTTGGGCTAATCTTTCCAATATGGACCATCGATTTCAAAGCCCATATGTTTTTTGTAGATAGTACTCACTAAAAGAAAGCGTTTTGCAAAGTTTTAGGTTGCGGAAACTTACGGTTCATGAGATATTTTTTTTAAACTTTTCATACAAATTGGTAAATAACACGCAATTACATCAATTACAAAATGAATTTGACAAATCATTGATGTTAAACGTCAGTTAGTGTAGGGTTCCGAATATTTTGAAAGTATCGATACCTACTCGATACCAAGTATCGTATCAAAAGTATCAATACTACTTGGTATCGAGTACATTTCGTTAATTTTGGAGACGAAAAATTATGACAAACCAATTAAATGCATAGGAAGAGCTGATAAGTGCAATTATATATGTATATAAAGTAGAATAAAGTTTACTCTATTTAAGTTCCACCTTAGTACTTGTATTTTATTGTTTGCAACTTGTTTGTATTTCTTAATTAGTACAGCTTTTGTACTTTTATTTTATTGTTTGCAACTTTCTGTATTATCTAATTCTTACTACAATAAAGTGTTTACTTACTTATTGACTTACTTATTTAATATTCAAAAAGTACCCAAAACCGAATCAGAGCTCCCCACTATCCACGTGGTCTTGTCTGCCCTACCCCTAGAGTGTATATAAGAGCCCGGAGGCGCGGAGGGAGAGCAGTGCCCGCCCGCCGTAGGGAGCTGAGGCTGGTCGCCGAAGGCGACCAAAAAGCCGAAGCTGCGAAGGCGAGCTCAGGTGCCTGTGCTTCCCTACGCTAGGGTGGAGGCACTGCTCATCCCGCAGGACGGAGCGCCGGAGCACAACTTCCCGGCTTCTTACCCCCCTAGTCTCCAAAATTAACGAAATGTACTCGATACCAAGTAGTATTGATACTTTTGATACGATACTTGGTATCGAGTACGTATCGATACTTTCAAAATATTCGGAACCCTACACTAATTGACGTTTGACATCAATGATTTGTCAAATTCATTTTGTAATTGATGTAATTGCGTGTTATTTGCCAATTTGTATGAAAAGTTTAAAAAAATATATCTCATGAACCGTAAGTTTCCGCATCCTAAAACTTTGCAAAACGCTTTCTTTTAGTGAGTACTATCTACAAAAAAAAATATGGGCTTTGAAATCGATGGTCCATATTGGAAAGATTTACCAACTTTTCATTTAATAAATAAACCAAAATGGAGAGTACTAACCGATTTTCAAAATTCAAGCTATGGAAACTTTTGACCATAACAATTTCCAGACCAGGCCAAGGTAGACAAGAACATTCAAAGTTCAGGCAGGTAATCAAAACACGGGAGTCCAGTAAACGTAAGCCAGGTCACAAAGGTAGAGAACAGATAAACGCATGCGATGACGAAGGGGTCGTACAGAGCACTGATATTGAAAAAAAAGTTTACAGAAGTTTACTAGAGTAGGCAATGACGTCACAAATAGGAATACAATGGACGAAATATTTAGTTGCAAGTGGATTCTTGGAGTGCGATTTAATATTAGCCAATGAGAGCTTTGTAAAAAACAATGTTATCAGTGCTTTTGTTCTTCAAACACAACAGCGCGCCGGTGTTTTATCAATGCCGACCCTTTTTTTTAAATTCATTTTCAACCCTATTACAAAGATACAAGATTTATAATATGGCTACTAGATATGTGATCTCAAATATTACGACGACTTTGTATTTCTAAAGCTTGTTTTTTATTCTAATGCAACTAGTTTGTTGTATATTAGTTCCATATCACAAGTATGTAGGTAGTCCATGCTACTATGGACGTCGATTATAGGATATGACGTCGTTGTTTAACATGTAAATGGTAGAGGATCTATGTCAGGGAACTCGCCTAGCGAGTTCAAGGCATTGCAGAATAGTTTGTTTCCTTTCAAATTTAAACGGGGTCTCCACACCGGCCCACCACGTAAATCCTTAGTTTAGTATATATTTAGTCTAAACTATAATTTTAAGCAGAAAATACGGATGCATTTTGGAAATATCAGTGAAAAACACTGAACTCGCCAGACGAGTCGTCGGCACTGGAATAAGATTTACGTGAACTCTCCGGGCGAGTCGGAGGCACTGAATGTGTTAACCAGGCTTAGGTCATTACGATCCCACATCGTTAATGCAGAATTTTTACCAGGTTCCGGTTTTATAAAATCCACAAGCTAATAGAATGTCATCCCAAATATGTTATCTATGAAATAAAACTGAACGAACTTGTATCGGAACGTAAATGTCACAGACAACCATTTGAATTTGTGGAGTCGTCGAGTGTGTAGATTTTTGACCAAGTTGAGACATTTTTGTAAATAATGTCGAAATCACGAAAGGTAAGTCGTGCTATTTTTTTATATGTTGTAGATTATGAGTTTTTGTTGTGGTTTTGTCATATTTCTATTCAGATTACTGGATAATTTTTTTATAACAACCTCTAAAAGTATGTGGGAGAACTGTGTCCATTGCCTGACTAGGTGGAGATTTGGTGGGAGATATATGCCCCCAGCCTGACAATGCCTTTTATTATTACAGGGACCTGTAAAAGACCACGAAATTGAGAAGTTACTCCAAATTTGGCAGTCATCGGAAGAGGAAAAGCAAAATTTGTAATTTTTTATTACTTAAATAAATTTATTATCACAAAATATGTTTTTATTTCTAATACTTACCTACCTAGTGATCTGATACGTAGTAGAGCCATGCTGCAGCTATGTTAGTAGTATAGTTATAGCACGAATGGGTCGGCTCGACCGGGGAAAGACCACCTTCTCACAGAATACCAGCGTGAAATAGCAGCTTGACGCTGCTGTGTTTCGTATGGTGAGTGTAGAGAACCAGAGACCCTTTTTACTTTAAATGAGGCACTCCATCTTAGTCCTCACGGGTGACAACGCAACTGCATTTTGATTTGTAATAGAGGATAGATGTAGATGTCTATGGGCCACAGCAACCACTTACCATCAGGTGGACTGTGTGCTCGTTTGTCACCCTTTACTATAAAAAAAATGAACCTGATGTAATCATAAGCTAAAAAAGTTAATATTACTAGGATTTGTAATATTTAAAATAGTATTGGTTTTAATTATATTATTTACAAAAAAAAATTAAAATTTTAGGTTTAAATATTAAGTAGGCGCACTAAATTTCTCAATTATCTTACAAGGCAAAGGGATTACGTTTCCCACATGATTTTATCTCTTGCCAGGCAAAGGGATTATGTTTTCCCACGTCATTTTCTTTAGTTTTCCATGCATTTTTCCAATTTTCACAAACTACACGTTATACAAGACGCAAATAGTAAATTAAATCCATAGAAACCACTTGCCCAGCTTAAGCGGTTTTCTTGGGCCTGGTTAAGGGTTAATACATGCTTTTCCTTACATATATTTATATAATTTTTTGTATTAATTTTTGTTTTAATTAACCTTTGTACTTTCCTAACATACCTATTTATTAATTTTTATGTATTTCTTTAATTTTCTTCTACTGCATGTAATCCTTTCTGCTGTTCTAGATGTGACAAAATCATCACCAGTCAAATCGATTGTTGTGGAGGGATGCAATGTTTTTGAAGATTTACATTCTATGAGCTCATTGAACAGACTTTGAGTTTGGGACACTTTCAATTCATCTAAGTATTGTTTTAATTGCAAAATCTGCTCATTAGCCTCACTTAACTGCAACTGCAATGCAGCAATTAATCTGAGGGATTCCTCATATTCTTTGCTGCATCGGTCAAACTCATCGACTGTTTCCTGAAGCTGATCCCTTTCTTTTAAAACATTTGTGTAGTCTTTACGCAACTTAACCATATCACTTTTTAGTTGACTATTTTTGGCAATTATATTTATTATTTCCTTTTCGTTGTCATCCCTTTCTCTGTACACTCTGACAGGCGCGACATGTTATACTCCCGTACGCTCAGGACCTCAAAATGGCGGCAAATGAAAAATTTTCCCTAACTTGCAAATTCTGCTATATTTTCACTTTTAGACAATATTTTTGAATAAAACTTACAGGAATTCTTCTTGCATGTATAAACTATCGAATAAAATAATTTTTGGATATTAGATATAGTAATAAAATTTATAAATTACCCTTTAAAATGCATAGTAGTAGTAAATACTCCACTTTTAGCCACGAAAATATTATTAAAATAATTTCCACAAGTTTGTTTTTCGAGAAATCTATATGAAAATGTTTGGAAATAAATATAGTTTTATGTTTTTATGTGTTTTTATTCGTAACCCAATATATAATCAACCATAACCCTTGTTTTCCGAAATTCAATTTTATTATATGAACTTTGAAACACTATTTCTCTAATATTTTTTGTGATTTTGAAATAAATACAACACCAAATTATTTGAAATATGTAATATAATTATTTTTTATTTACATTATACAGTAAAAATAAATGAAAATGGAAAAATAATACATTTCTTACTCAACCACGAAAACGGAAGTTTTTCAACATAAATTCACATATAACACACTCAAATATGTTTCGACACAAATGAAATATGTTTAGAAAAGTACATTTTTACAAATTTACAATAAACATATACAATTCAATGCACAAAATACAAAACACAAGAAATAAAATAAAATGTATGGAGCAAATAGTGATGTGGCGTCGCTGGTATATTTATCGATAATTATTTGCAATGTAACCGGCAATACCAAGGACCAAGATTGTTATCAAAGTAAATAAGTCACTATTTTAAACGAGACCGTTCTTTGGGAGCTAACTAAGATGCCTTTCACAATCCCTGCTGAACACAGGAGTTACGTTCTACAATATCAGACCAACTATAAGTATGTGTCAAACTGGAAGAAGTGTCACAAAACAGGGGGAGAGATGGTAGATGGTGAAATTGTATACACAGATGACCTTGTGTTGTCAACTGTTCTGTCATTCATAGCTCCATTTACATCGGATTGCTTGGGAGGATTACGTGATGGGGAACCTGGTCCCACAGAGAAACCCAGAACTGAGGCGGAGACCAATATGGGTATATTAGCACTCTCTCTGACATCATTCATGACCCTGGCGAAGCCCATCACCCCCCAAAACGGAGCTGCATATACCAAAAGATGGAAAGCCGCTTTGGCGGCAGCTCAGATTCCTGATCTAGTTACGTCTGAATCATGGACAGCCATTATGACCCTAGCGGGCCGCTTCCAACAAGTTGTAGCGATACGCCCAGATTTAAGAATGGAGATAGTTGACAGGGTGACTCAGCGGGAATTGCCGGGGCTTCCTGGAGCTCTGTTAGCTCAAATAAAGTTAGTGTGGAGCTACTCTTCACTCAAAGCAGTCCAGTACATGGACGCTTTTACTAAGTCGCACTGCAGGGCCCTTGAGATCCCAGCGGTCCTAGATCAGGCCTTGTTGTTGCAATCTCGATGGACTAAGGCTCATGCTGATGATCCGAACCTGCAATTCTGCAGGGTTAAGAACCCCTCGAGTCACACCGAGCTAAACCACTCTAACTATCCTGATCTATACTACGCCTCTATAGCTTATGCTAAGCTCAATAAATTGGTTGGGGACAATTTCCAATTGTCTCAGACACACACTTCTAGACATTCTTATTTGATAGATAAATATATCAAAAAGACGGTTGCAGCCGAACTGGGTGAGATGACCGAAGACACACGTTCAAAACTCGCAAGGCTAGGATATCCGATAGCAGCCAGAAGACGTCCCAGAGAAGAGAGTGAAGATGAAGACGAAAGCGAGCCCCAGCGAAGAAGGTCGAGAAGATCAGGAGACCCCATCCAAGAGGTAGGAGGTCCAAAATAAATTGAGAATGTTGGCCTCATAATCATTAATATAGTTATCATTTCATTTTAAGTAAGGAGGCTTAGAGCCCTCCAATTTGTTTACCTGTAGTTTTAATTAAAAGCGATCTTTTACTACTCTCATGTACTTACTTATCTTTAAGAAAAAAAAAAATAATCAAATTCGGTTGTTTGACTTTTTGTAATGATTTTATATTGAATTTACAATAAATTTGTTCTTTTACAATTTCTGAATGAATTTTTATAGAACCAGCATGGTGGCGATCACCTCATTCACGGGGTTATTATAATAACCCTTTTTGTACAATTTTTCTTTTCAAATTAAACATTCTTTCAGTCAACATTCATACCCATTCATATCCTTCTTGAACCCACTACTGAGGACGAGGAGGAGACCGGAGACCCTTTTTACTGGAAACGAGGCATTCCATCTTAGATTTCACAGGTCACGGAAAGATGTAGATGTCAAAGGGACAGTGCAAACACTTACCATCAGGTGGACTGTGTGCTCGTTTGTCACCCTTACCTATAAAAAAAAGATGAAGAGGAGGAGACCGGAGTTCCTTTTTAACGGAAACGAGGCATTCCATCTTAGTCCTCACAGGTCACGGGGGATAGATGTAGATGTCTAAGGGCCGCTGCAACCGCTTACCATCAGGTGGACTGTGTGCTCGTTTTCCACCGTAAACTATAAAAAAAATGAAAGGAAGGAAGAAAAAGGGAAGGACCACGCTCTCACAGAATACAAACTCGATACTGGTGAGGTAGAGGAGACCAGAAACCCTTTTTACTGGAAACGAGGTCTTCCATCTTAGTCCTCACAGATCACGGGGGAGTAGATGTAGATGTCTACGGGCCACAGCAATCACCTACCATCAGGTAGACTGTCTGCTTGTTATCACCCTAAAGAAACCGGAGAGCCTTTGACCCTTTTCACTGGAAACGGGGCATTCCTCACAGGTCAATGGGCCACACCAACCACTTACCATCAGGTGGACCGTTTGCTCCTTTGTAACCCTTCCATTACAATCACCCTCCGCGAATTTCACAAAACTCCGTAAATACGTTTACGGAGTTTCATGAAATTCCATAAAGCATTTTTGCAGACAGAGCGCCAGCCCACACTGCATACACTCAAACGACGTGAGTGTTCTGCGGTGCTCGCGTTCCGTGCACCACACACACGCACGTCGTTTGTATTTATTTGGCGGTCTCTCCGCCGCATCTGCCGTTGTCTCTCGACTTGGCATGGGTATGCGGCGAAGGTAGTGGCGCTCTGTCAGCCTCTGTAATGGAAAGGTAGGGTGTCTTTGGTGTTGAGCAGGGATTGGCTGGCGAGGTACCATTTTGAGATGGCGGTTCATAATGCCGTCAACCAACGCCAACCGAAACGCTACGGAATCGAGTTTGGTGTTGGTTGATTTCTCAACAATGACCCTTGCGTTTTGAATGGAAACATTCAAAAGGCGTTTGAAAACTTTCCGGTTCCATTTCAAACATTGTTTCCGCTCGACTAGATAGGCCTCCAGCATCGAGTCAAGGCGGTCAACTCCCCCCATGTACCGATTATAATCGTTTATCAAATCGAGCTTGTATTGTGCAGTGTGGCCCGAACGTCCGGCAAATAGTTGTTGCGAGACGCCATGGTATGTTGAGATACAAGTCACTCGCCTGCGATCTTGTAGCGCAACAACCATGACGTCGTCGGACGCACGGGCAATAAATTGCCCTTCCTGTAAGGGTGCAAGTTTGATGGCTTCTGGAACCCCTTTGCAAGTCGGCCGCAGGGTACCGACGCAGTCCGTGTTGCGGCGTTTTAGCCAACGAGCCAGGGAGGGGGAATTGAACCAATTGTCCATGTACAGCGTGTGCCCCCGGTTGAGGAGAGGTCGTATGAGCCTCAACACAGAGGACACGCTGACCGGTACCCTACTCCCTGTCTCGCGGCCCGCATACACGAAGAACGACCAAAGGTATCCTGTGGCCGACTCGCACAATTGAAAGGTTTTTACACCAAACTGGGCTGCCTTGGACTTTATGTATTGTTGAAACCTAACTGGCCCTTTCCAAAGAGTTAGCGATTCATCAATACATATGTTCCGGTCCAGCTGGTATAACTCCTGGAACTTGTCATTCAAATGGTCGATAATGGGACCCATTGGGTGCAGCAGATTATTAGGGTCTGTCCCCTCGGCCAAATGAAATGCCGCATTGAGGTTCCAGTAGCGGCCTTCCGTGAATAATGCGCGAAATACGTCAGTCCTCAGTAGTGGGTGCTTGCAGAAACATGATTTAATGCTTGGCATTCTAATAATGCCAAGCATGATCCAAAATGCCATTAGCGCCCAGATTTCATGTAGATTGGTCTGAAACCAATCTTTCCTGAAACCTGAACGCTGCTGTGCCAAAACCGACTCGGCATACCGGTTCGTTTCGTCAGCAATATGGGCCATGATGTCATCTGTCCAGATGGCATGCATGGCCTCATATGGATCGTGAAACAAAACGGTAGGCCCAGTCTGTTCTGACACAAAATGGCATTGCCTGCCATTCCACTCGTTCATCACTCGCCACTCAAAACTATCATCTTCATCCCAATCCCATTCATCCTCCCTCACATTCTCCTCTTCCTGATTTGCAGTTATCCTTCTTCTTTCGTACCTCTCCCTCCTAATGGAATGATCACGGATTTGCCCCTGAATATCCAAGGGCAAATCCGTGTCATTCGGGAAGACTTGCACGAAGGGTGCTCCACGCAACCAACCCACGCTTCGGCCACGGCCACGGCCACGTCCACGACCACGCCCGCGTACAGACGCGGTCCCTCGCCGCTGACGTGCCGCCGCCGTGTCCAACATCTCCACCATGAAGCGGGGTGCGGGGCCTGGAGCACCCTCTGGAGCAGGTAAATCCTGTTGAAAAATGAACACGTTGTTATTGTGCTGCTATATATATATTTAAATCGACGAAGACTTCTTGCGTCTTTACAGACTACCACCCTGCCGCGTCCACTGTATGCGGCAAGATTTTAAATGTTTTTAATGTGTATTTACGAAGTTTTAATCAGTATGATTACATTAGTCGACGTGGAATTTCAATTAAACATGATATGTTAATATTCACTTTTAAATAATTCCCGGTACGTCCGTTCACCACCAAAATTATCCAGCACCCTGAATATCCCTGTATACCATCTATACACTGCATAAATGTTCCTACCTCCATCGAAACTTACGCTTAAACTGATTCTGTATAATTCCCTATATATGTTACAAAGATCATGATGATTAAGTTACATCCATCAATATTAGAAAAGATTGTGATTCCGTATACAGTTTTTACATTTTGTACTCATCATACTAGTCAACCGGCTTCCAGCTATATAGTCTAGGATCCCACTGCAGAATTAGTGTACTCATCGAGTATATGCTAAAAACCTAATTTTTACGCATATTTATCATTAAGAGAATAAATATTTGCTAGGGTGCCTATCAAAATGTGGCCGCTAGTATTTTTAATTAAATTATTTTTAATTAATTTTTTCGCAAAAAATTTCATTGATTTGTTTTTAAAATAAAATATCGTCCACTTCACGGCAATATATATAAAGACTTTGAAAATTTACGGTTGCCGTTGCGCACTTGGCCGCACCTCTTCGCAGCCAGGTGTAAACAGGTATGATTTTGATATCTTTTTACGTTTATAACGTACATTTATGATTTATATATTAAATTAAAGCTAATTTTTTTCTTATTATTATGATATATGGGTGCCTAATTAAATCTGGCCGCAAATAAGAGTTGCTGGCTGCTAAATATGATAAATATTAAAAGTAGAGTGAAAGAGAGCTAGCGCGTAATGTCACCAGTCAGACGAAGACAGCGATTGCCAGCTGTCCGACGTTTTAAAGCCATTGCGCATGCGTCGGGTGCTAGTGTTCTCAACTGACCAGCTGCAGCATATTTATTCTAACTTAGAAACCACGCTGTTTTGGAGTTCGTTATTTATATTGCTATTTTATTTGTGCATCTAAAATTATCAAATTAATTTACGTAAAATAAAATTGATAAAGATCAAGGCGTGTTTTCTGTGTAACAAAAAAAACAATGTACTTAACTTTAATGATGCATCGTTTAAAAAGTGTTCGTTCATGTTATTATTTCGTCGTATGAAAAAATATAAATATCACGACGCTTTATTAACAATTGAATCAACTGATGATTTTGGATATCATACAGAGTGCCTTAAAAAAATTACAGTTTTAAAGGAAAAAGACAAAGAAGAATTTGAAAATTTTTGCAAAACACAAACAGTAAGTAAAATTTCAACTGAGCTTAAAAATATTATAGGTTATAGATACGATATAAATAATACAGTGCTAACTTCGAAGTTTTTTTGTTAAAATTATTATTATTTTTTTAATTTTTTATTTTTGTGGAAAAATGTGGTAACGTAGCACCATTTACTCATTCCTAGGATATTTCATTTCTTAGACAGGTAGAATTTATCAGGTAGTCGGACCTTTTTTAAAACTTATTTCAAGCACACAATAAAATCATTCAACAATATAATGTGGAGAAATAAATACTATTACTAACTTTTTCTATTAACTGTGCGTTATGTTTTTCCGAAAAAAATATATAACTCTCTACATTAACACCGTATTTTTTATAATTAACAGATTCCGAGCCTCCCTTCAGATCTTCATGAACGAAGTATTTCTGATGTCAACTGTGATCTAGTAAGTATATACAATAGTAACAATATTAATCGGATATGAAAAAAAAAATTTTCGAACAGTAAGCTTTTAATAGGAAGAATCAAGGCCTTCATTGAGCGATCAACCAACTACACTTCCAGCAGATGAACAGCGAACTACGACTGCTTCAAACGAGCAGCCTAGTACATCTGCGCACGAAGATGATCAAACTCAAGTTTTTCAAAGTTTATCATCTGCTGCTACAATATCCCAGCAAGCTATTCCATCAACACCTAAAATCAAAAAGTCAGCCTGCCTTTTTTGTGATCATGTTGAAAAAAAAGTTGGTAAGAGGCGAATCTATACAACGTTCCCGCAATCAGAAGCAACGATTGAAACAATAAAATCAATGGCCAAAAAATCGAATGACACTAAATTGTTAGCGAAACTAGAGAGCCCTCAATCTGTTGCTTATCATTCAACTTGTTTTTCATCATATCAAATTTCATTGAAACGGCAATGTCAGGAACACCCAGAACCAAGATATTGGCACAAAAACCGTCAATTTCATCACTTGGCATTCAATGCGATTTCGGAAATTATAAAGACGGAAATTATTGGAAACAATCGCGTTGTGTATCTCACTGATTTGTTTACTCAATATAAATCATTGCTACTGGAATTTGCTGAAGGCCAAGTACGCGCTGAAGACATACAAGACTATCGTGTTGAAAACTTAGAAAATAAAATAATCAAAGCTTTTGGCGATAGAGTTATTATTGAATCATCCATGGGGACACCGAAAAAAGAAAATTGTATATCAGTATGACATGGACACGTCACGATTAGCTGGTGAAATAGCAAAATTAGAATCTACTAAAAAGAATCGATTCAGAGATGTCGCTTACGAATTGCGCAATTGTATCACATCTCTGGAAAGTACGAAGCTGCCAGATAATCTAACTCCAAAGGATGTCATTCTCGGAGAGTGCAATATTCCAGAACAACTTTTTAATTTCGTGTGTGACTTAGTTCAAGGACCAGATACTCGTCGTAAAAATTCAGGTGATGATTTGGTGAAAATAAAGTCTGTGTGTAGTGACCTGATTTATATTGTATCCAAAGGTAGAGTCAAACCGTCAAAACATCTTACACTCGGGTTATCAATGAAATCTATGACAAGTTCACGAAAAGTTTTAACGATATTAAATAGATATGGACATACAATAGGCTATAATTTAGCTGAAGAAATTGAAACTGAGATGACGTATAGTTCCCAAAACGAAAACAGTACGATACCGGCCGGTATTAGCAGAGTTGATGGGCGAAGCACGCACGTAGCTTTCGATAACTTTGACCGTTTCGTCGATACAGCCACTGGGAAAGACACTTTGCACGATACAGTTGGTATCATTTATCAATTTCGCAGCGAAAATGATGACCCTGATAATATGGACAATTCAGATACTTCTGATTCAGAATCCCTAAGCGCATATGTCCATGAAGGTCCCACGGAGCCTCTTGTAAGAGCTCGTAAGAGACGGCGTTTTGAAGCACCTTCGAAGGAAATTCGTCCCTTTGTCAAGACACCATTTACAAGTATGACGTTTCTGCCTTTTCAAACAATTACTGAAACAATCGATGCGTGTCATTCAGATAAATCAATCGCAATTGATAAGGATTTGGTTTGGAGTAGGTCTTTATCTCAAATTGATTCGGTACCCATGTGGTTAGGTTATAACTGCAAAATTGGCATTGATGAGAGTAAAATTCAGACAGTCGAGTACTTATCACCAATTAATGAATCTCCTACATCGCTAGCTGTTGTTCAAGAAACTCTTAACATTGCAAAGGAAATTGCTAAGAATTGTAATCAACAACAGATCATAGCTACTTACGATTTAGCAATAGCCAAATTAGCTATGCAAATTCAACATACTAAAAATCCAGAATTTGACGAAATATTCATTAATTTAGGCGCATTCCATACCCAAATGGCTTTCTTTAAAGCAATTGGAAAGTATATTGATTCCAGTGGATTAGTAGAGATTTTGGTTTTGGAAGCAGAGGCACTAGCAGGAGGTTCAATGAACAGCTTCTTGATAGTAAACATTTTAATCGATGTAAGCGGCTACATCCTTTGGCTTCTGGTGCTTTTCAGATTCTTGATTTTGAAAAATATCTGTCAGAAATTGACACGGATGATATTGAAACTTTAAAGGAAGACTTAAACGCCGTAATGAATACTTCATGTGGAATCAACGATAGCATTGTTTTACCTGATTCATTGGATAAAATACTGCAGGGTTACAAACAATTCCGCGAAATAACACTTCAGGGCGGTCATGGAAAGACAGCTCAATATTATTTGCAGTATACTGAACTTATCAACATATTTCTTCGATTTTCTAGAAGCATACGCTGCAGTAATTTTGAGCTCTACTTAGATTCTATTTTGCATTCAATCAGCCGAATTATGCCAAATGGGCTGCTATGTATTTAAATAACTTAATCAAGTTAAAAGTCGAAAATTCTACTCTACTTCAGGAATTTCGCGAAGGTGCATTTGGTATTAGACACACAAAATCGTGCTTGGGCAGATCACCTGTAGACTTGACTTTGGAGCAGGCGATCAATGCTGATGTCGGTAATACCTTGACTGGTGTAAGCCATTTTACAAATTCGATCGCTGCACGAGAAAGATGGGCTCTTAGCCATAGTGTCAGGACTAAAATTATGTCGTCCGTGAAAGCAGAAATCGGATTATCTCAAGCAGATGATACTTCTTATACGTTACAGAAGAATCGAATTGAGAAAGACTCCAAAACTCTAAACAATATTGTTAAAACGATGAATCCTTTTTCTGAAAATGTTGACAAAGATCGTTTGTTCAATTTGTCAACTGGTAAAGCGGCATCCTCAAATGTTACTGATTATTTACTCAATGTTAAGTCTTTAGGTCAAGAACAAAAGTTAAAATTTTTTTCGGAATGCTCTGAAGATTCAACAAGATCTGTGAGAACAATAAGTCGTAATAAAATAAATAACTTCGCTTCAGATTGTGTTAAAAAAAGTATTAAGAGTACCACCGGAGACAAAAATACAATAATTAAAATGGAACGAGATATTTTTGGACGTCTGTTGGTAATTGCTATTAATCAAAAAGTTGACATTGGGTACTGTTTGTCATTCCCTCTAGCACCTCTACCTCCTGCACTATTCCACTGCTCAGGTGACAATGAAGACGGACAAGTCAACTCTGAGTAAACAATTGACAGCAAAGATTGCACCAGCTAATCCTGGCCAAGTCGACATAGAAATCATTGATGGTTTCTATTATTTGTATCAAATTGGCTCTAATTTGCCGCAAACATTTGGAAAAGTAGCAGAATCGATATTGATAAAACTTTGTTCGAAAAATACTCCCGAAGTACATATCATATTTGATAGATATTTAACGCCTTCTATTAAAGATAGCGAACGACAAAATCGAGAAGGAATTGATATTCCATACACAATTAATGGCCCTTTGCAAAAAAGACCCAATGATTTTTTTAAAAGCTTGAAGAATTTTCGTTTCAAAGAAGCCCTGGTAAAATTCTTAGCAAATCATTGGGCCGATGATTCTTTTGCTACAGTATTAGAAAATAAAAAAAATTATATTACAGTTGGAGAGCAATGTTTTTCGTATTGTTCTGCTGCAAATCTCGTAGTGCAAACTGAAGAAACTGCATTTGAATGTAAACATGAAGAAGCTGATACAAGGATTATTTTCCACATAAGCAAAGTACCTGAAAATTCAAAAATTTTGGTGAAAGCATCAGACACAGACGTTTTAATAATTTTATTAGGTAATATGCATAAATTTCCTAATTTGCAGATTTGGTTGGCGAACAGTGCATCAAAAAAAGTAATAATAAAGATGAAGTTTACATTAACTGTACGGACTTATCAATAAAATTAGGCGCAACTCTATGTCTTGCTCTTCCCGCTTTTCACGCGTACACGGGTTGCGACTACACGGCTGCATTCTTCAACAAAGGGAAAGTTCGGCCCTTGACTTTATTTATGAAGCACCCACACATTCAACAAGCTCTTGCGTCTTTGACGAATCCTAATAACATCTTTAATGAAACTAAAATTAATGCGGTCCAGGAGTTTACGTGCCTTATGTATGGACTTCCAAAGTGTCAAAATGTAAATGCCGCAAGATTTTTATTATTTGACAAAATGTACGCTTCAAAACAAAATAATGAAAATTTATGAAAAGAATGAAAGGTTTCGACTCAACGCATATTCCACCGTGCTGGAAATCTTTGAAACAAAAATTGTTGCGGACAATCTTTGTTAATTCAATGTGGTTAAATGCTACTGAGCCGAATTGTATCAAGTTTAACGCGGAAAATAACGGCTGGCTGTTATTAGATGGTGTCCTAAAACCAACATGGTTCCTGGGAGACTCAACTCCAACGCAAGTTGAGAGTGTGCTATGTGATTCCACGAACAAATCTTCCGATAATGACGACGATTCTGATATTAGTAACGATAAAAGTGATAGCTCCGATGAAATATAAGAAAAATATAAGAAACATTTTTTTATTTTAATGTTTAACTTACTTGAATGTTTAATTTATATGTGACAAACGATTAAATACTTGAATAAAATCTAATATTACTTCAACCTACTTGCACAATAATTTTTTTTTTACGTACCTTGGTTTTATTTTTCAATATTAATCGTTTTTATGTAATTTTTAAATTTGTAATTTTGAAAGAAAGACATTTCTTTTGGAGTATTTATTAAGTCGTCTCTACTATTATTTGAACCAGTGGTTGAGAACACTAGCACCCGACGCATGCGCAATGGCTTTAAAACGTCGGACAGCTGGCAATCGCTGTCTTCGTCTGACTGGTGACATTACGCGCTAGCTCTCTTTCACTCTACTTTTAATATTTATCATATTTAGCAGCCAGCAACTCTTATTTGCGGCCAGATTTAATTAGGCACCCATATATCATAATAATAAGAAAAAAAATAGCTTTAATTTAATATATAAATCATAAATGTACGTTATAAACGTAAAAAGATATCAAAATCATACCTGTTTACACCTGGCTGCGAAGAGGTGCGGCCAAGTGCGCAACGGCAACCGTAAATTTTCAAATTCTTTATATATATTGCCGTGAAGTGGACGATATTTTATTTTAAAAACAAATCAATGAAATTTTTTGCGAAAAATTAATTAAAAATAATTTAATTAAAAATACTAGCGGCCACATTTTGATAGGCACCCTAGCATATATTTATTCTCTTAATGATAAATATGCGTAAAAATTAGGTTTTTAGCATATACTTGATGAGTACACTAATTCTGCAGTGGGATCTCGTACTAATATCAGCGATTATATTGTTTCTGATATATCAGTAGATACAATTCTCATGTTAGTATTTATTTCATGTTTTTATAATCTCAATAGTGATAAGCAAAATTCTCAATTAATTTCCTTAGGGGTACAAAGGATCTGACCTTAGTAGAAAATAATAATAAATAATATTATTATAATAATATTATATAAATAATAATATTATTATAATAATAATATTCCACAACTATCACACAACGCCATCTAGTCCCAAGCTAAGCAGAGCTTGTGTTATGGGTACTAGACAACTGATAAACATACTTATATATTTCTAAATACATAAATATTATAGACAAATTACACCCAGACACAGAACAAATGATCGTGCTTATCACACAAACATTTGTCCTGGGTGGGAATCGAACCCACGACCTCCGGCATAGCAGTCAGGGTTACTAACCACTAGACCAACAGGCCTGTCAAAATATTTAGACAGTGGAAAATACTCAGACACGGTAGAAGCCTTTTAGTTTTAAGCAACTAAAGAAACAAACTACTTCTTTAACCGCAATTGACTATAAGGAATTTTTCCTCTATTTATTTATTTAAACTTTATTGCACCATAATAATTCAAATACCCAAGGTGAGGTTGTTAGGTAAGTTAATGCCACGGGCAGATGATTTGTGTAGTAAATGTATGTGGTAAGGTAATTGTTAGGTAAGCTTATGTTTTTCTTTTAAGTAAATGTTAAATTGTAAATCAATTATGTCTCAATGATAATCTTCGCTTTTAAATTATGATATATCATTGTAATTTTCAGAAAAAATTAAGTAATAGAAATAAAACAATAATATTCTAAATATATGATATTAGCAAACTAAATCACTGACATTATACAATATTTAAATTATTGATCATTGTTAAGGAACTGAAAGGGACTGAAAGATACTTAAATTATATGGACATCGTTTGGAAAACAATAAAAAAGATTGTTAATAATTCGTTAATTTTTTAAAGTAAATATTGTGCACAAAAACTTTAATTTTAAGCCAGTCTTTGTTTTCCAGCAAATCTCAGTGTTGTTCTTTTAATATTTCACATTCATGTTTTTTAGGTAGTTGTTTATTTTTAATGTGTAGTTTGAAAAAAATTTCCGTCAAAGGTACTAATGTTCTTTTCTTTCCAGTTTTTATTTTATTTTTGGTATTTAATACCTGTGTTACCTCTTCGGTGATGCATTGTTGAGAAGTTCGAATACCGGATGGTCCAGCCTGAGATAAATTGTTTTGACTACGCATTTGTTGAATGCAATCAGAGTTGACAGTTTCGATTAGCTTACAATCATAATCGAGTATTTGATCGTTATCAAGAACCTCTTCATCTAGCTCTTCATTCGTATCTAAATCGATCTCTTCGAGAGTCTTTCCTTTGAAAGCATCTGCTTTACCATCTTCTATAACAATAAGAAGTTTCGATATGTTAGCAGTTTGGTATACTTCATCAGGCAATCTATAAGATTTTTTGTGCACTTCATTGTTCATGTCATTTTTAGACATGCTAAATATTTGTGACAACGTAGCTAAGTATTTTCTGAGCCTTGTAGACGAGACTGCTTTTGGGTTTTTTGCTCCAGATAACCTTGCATGCCTTTCGAGAACTTTGTAGCCATAGATAGTGTTTTCATAACATGGATTACCAAATAAAAAAATATTTGGTTTTGAAGAAAAAAAAAACAGGTGTCTTATTGACAATAATGGTTTTATGTACACTTGAACTTCTTAACGGGTACTCCACGACCACGTTTGCCTCTAATAAAAACTCTCTTAAATTTCTTAACCAGAATCCTTTCAGATGCAGTAAGGCTCAACATTCATCATACTTATCAGATGCATTATTATCACTTTGTAAATAGTCGTGCAGTGTGATTCTTTGAAGTTCACCAGGCTTGCGTCTGTTCAATAGTAAAATCCTACAATACACAGTTTCTAATAGTTGTCTGTATATTGCAATATTTTTGATGCCTTCTATAATTTGTATAGAAGCCTCCAAAGATTTTTTATTTAACTATTCTTTTAGAATTTTCAAGTCATTTGCTAAAGGGACAATAGTTATTTTTATAACGTAGTACGTTTCTAGGGCAGGCGGAAAAAAGTACATTGACCTCAAGTATTATGTTAGCATTGAAACAAAACGACAGTTATTGCTTCCATACATTTCTTTATAGATTACGTATCGTTATGCGCTAAGCGTGTCGCATGGTACGGGGTAGGGTGAAGGAATGACCGCTTCCTTCACCCTAGCCCGTATCATGAGACACGCTTAGCGCACAACGATTCAGAGATAATAAACCTGTTTCGACGCGATTTGCGATAGGTCTCACGCCGTGCTTATTTGAGAAAGCGGATGGAGCAGAACTAATTCCTCATTCTGCTTTGGGATGCGCTTGCGTGTAGATTCCTAAGCTTCCTTCCTATGTGCTTCCCGAGAAATTGTGCGATTGGATCACCAGTTTTCTTGCAGATCGAAGCATCAAGGTCATTGTAGACGGTGCAAGCTCCGATTGCAAGCCTATTAATGCTGGTGTTCCACAGGGCTGCGTGCTATCGCCAACGCTGTTTCTTCTGCATATCAATGATATGTTGCAGACCCGTAACATTCATTGCTATGCAGATGACAGCACTGGTGATGCTCTTTACACCGGCCGAGCCAATATTTCTCGGGAAAACGTGCCGGGACAAACTTGTGTCTGAAGTCGAGTCTCTGCTGGACAGTCTCGGATTGGGGGCGACTAAATCTAGTCCAGTTTAACCCCCAGAAGACACAAGTTTGCGCGTTAACCGCTAAAAAGAACCCCTTTGTCGTATCCCCTCAGTTTCAAGGCACTCCCCTTGTTGCCTCAGCCAGTATCGGAATCCTCGGCGTCGACATATCGAGTGACGTGCACTTTCGTGGTCACTTGGAAGGGAAGGCCAAATTGGCCTCTAAAAAAGCTTGGCGTGCTCAGCAGAGCGGGACAGTATTTCATGCCGGCACACCGCCTGCAAATTTACAAGGCGCAGGTTCGGCCGCACATGGAATACTGTTCCCATCTCTGGGCTGGGGCTCCCCAGTACCAGCTCCTTCCACTTGACCGCATCCAGCGCAGAGCGGCTCGAATCGTCGACGACCGAGTGCTTTCCGATCGGCTCGATTCACTGGCACTGCGAAGAGATGTTGCATCCCTTTGTATTTTCTTTCGCATATGCCATGGAGAGTGCTCTGAGGAATTGTTCGGATTAATCCCAGCCGCCAAATTTCGTGAACGCACTACGCGGCAAACGTCCCGATACCATCCACACCATCTGGATGCTTGGCGGTCCACCGCTGTGCGTTTCAAAAGGAGTTTTCTTCCGCGTACAACCTCTCTGTGGAATAATTTACCACCGGCGATTTTTCCGGACCGATACGACCTGGGACCCTTCAAGAAAAGAGCTTACTCCTTTCTAAAGGGCCGGCAAAGCATCTGCAATTCCCCTGGTGTTGCAGTTGATCATGGGTGGCGGTAGTCACTTAACATCAGGTGAGCCACATGCTCGTTTGCCCCCTCTTCTATGAAAAAAAAGATAGTTTGAGATTTAAAATTTTCGGTTATAGTAGTTGTTTTAATTTTTATTAAGTTTGTTTTGTTAGTTGTATTATTACGTTTTGTATTAAAGTTTTTGTTATTGTTTTGTGACGTTTTGTATATTATCACTAGTAGGAAATCGGGTCCATCGACATAAAAATCTCATAAAGACTTTACGTCGCAACGAAAGAATCGAAACGTGTCGCATATTTCGAAAACCGAAAAAATTGTGATTGTAAACATCTATAAATATATAAAAGAAACGTGGTCTAGTGACGTATTATATCGTTATATCATCATCATCATCATTACAGCCCTTCACAAGTCCACTGCTGAACATAGGCCTCCCCCAAGTAATGCCACAAAGCACGGTCCTGAGCCACCTGCATCCATCTACTTCCTGCATATCTTACCAGGTCGTCACTCCATCTAGTGGGGGGTCGCCCTACACTACGCCTACCCGTACGAGGCTGCCACTTAAGAACCTTTCTTCCCCATCGGTTCTTCGAGCTATATGGCCGGCCCATTGCCACTTCAGCTTACTAATCCGTTGGGCTATGTCGGTCACTCTGGTAGCCCTCTCCATAGCTCGCTGAGCGACCTTAAGCGTCCTCATACGGCCAGCAGTGAAGGACCACGTCTCAGATCCGTAAGTCATCACTGGCAACACGCACTGGTTGTACAATCTAGTTTTTAGAGATTGAGGTATACCTGACGAAAAGATATGTCGTAATTTCCCGAACGCTGCCCAGCCGAGTTGAATCCGTCGATTGACCTCTCGGTCGAAGTTGGACTTACCTAGTCGGACTATTTGTCCCAGGTAAACATACTCGTCAACAACTTCGAGCGTGCTCCCAACAACTACCGGCACAGGTGTGACATGGACATTAAACATGATCTTTGTTTTGTCCATGTTCATCTTAAGACCTATCCGTTGGGAGGCACTATTGAGGTCATTGAGCATAATGCTTAAGTCCTCCAGCGATTCTGCCATAAGGACTATATCATCAGCAAATCGAAGGTGAGTGATGTACTCGCCATTGATGTTAATACCGTATCCTTTCCAGTCCAGTAGCTTTAAAACGTCTTCCTACGCAGCGGTGAAGTTTCGGGGATATAACATCACTCTGTCTTACACCTCTCTGCAGTTGGATAGGTTTCGAACTCTGGTTCTGTACTCGGATAGCCATCGTAGCCCTACTGTACAAACACTTCAGCACTTCGATGTACCGACAGTCAACTTGGCACCACTGAAGGGACTGTAGCACCGCCCAAATTTCGACGGAATCAAAGGCTTTCTCATAGTCCACATATGCCAGGCAAAGTGGCAGATTGTACTCTTCGGTCTTCTGTACAATCTGCCGCAGGGTATGTATGTGGCCTATGGTACTGAAGCCTTTTCGGAAACCGGCTTGTTCGGGAGGCTGGAAGTCGTCAAGTCTGCGTGCGTAACGATTCGTAATGACTCTCGAAAATAGCATGTAGACGCGGCTCAGAAGGGAAATCGGTCTGTAGTTCTTCAAGAGAGCGTTGTCGCCTTTCTTAAAGAACAAAACCACCGCGCTTCTGCTCCACGCCTCCGGAGTAGTGCCACCATGGAGGACGGAATTGAAGAGCTTCTGAAGGACTTCAAGTACCAGTGTTCCACCCGCTTTCAGAAGCTCCGCTGTGATTCCATCCTCGCCCGGGGCCTTTTTAAAGTGGTGGAGAGCCATTCTAATCTCGCTCAGACTGACGTCCGGGATATCATCGGAATAGTGTCGGATAAGACTTGCTCTTGGATCGTTACACTTGCGTGTGGCTCCAACGATGATGTGTACAGCTGCCCATAGAACCTCTCAATCTCACTCAGAATCTCAGGTGTCCCGGAAACGATGTTGCCACACTCAGTCTTCAGCTTTGACAGTTGGCTCTTTCTGGCAGACAGATCTCTGGCAAAGACTTTGGAGCTCTGGTTCCGCTCGATCGCTTCTTTAATACGAGAAGTATTAAAGTTGCGTAAGTCTCGCCGCATGCATTTGGAGATCTGTCTGTTCCGTTGCCTGTATGCTGTCAAATCTGTTGACGATTGCAGCCTCATCTCCCGTCTAACAGCCATGAGATTAAGAGTGTGATCGGAGAGTTTTTGTGTTCTTCTGCGGCGGGTTTTGCAGAACTTAGCTCCGACCGCATGGACAGTTTTCACGAGCTTGTCGTTCATATCGTCCACTGCATTGCAATCTTCTAGGCACTGGAAGCAGTTACGTAACTCGAGTTAGCGTTTAAATATATAGGATATATATATATATATATATATATCCTATATATTTAAACGAGCAATTCTTGTATATATATATATATATATGTATATAATCGGAATCTCGGAAACGGCTCCAACGATTTTCATAAAATTTTGTGTGCAGGGAGTTTCGGGGTCAATAAATCAATCTAGCTAGGATTTATTTTTAGAAAATGTCTTTTTGTCCGTGTCTTTAGGCAATGAAAAACTGCTACAATATCGTTAGAATAAGAAGGTAAATTTTGACAGTTTATTAAAGATTACAAATAGCTTAATTGGTATATTGGGCGGTTACAAACTCGTAATGCCATGGTTCGAGCCCAGACCGACCGACAGACTTTTTTTAATTTTTTTTCAAGTTTCTTTTTTGAGAAAATTTATTTTTTCGAGCCCTTTTTTTAGTATTTTTTAAAAACACGAAAATTTAAATTAAACTAATTGCACTCATGATTTTTTATTCAAATAACCAGTTCAGTTTTTTCTATTATGTCGCTACGATCAAAAAATATTATTCGTATTTTATCAGTATGTAATTTGTATCTAAATATAATTTCCATACCATATAATTTCCAAGACACACGAATTAAAAAAAACCGAGCGAAAAATACCGAGCAATACTCGGTCAACCGGGTTTTTTTATTTATATATATATATATTACTTACTTCCACTCTGCGGGGTGCGGGGCCTGGTACAGCCTCCGGAGCAGCCACTGGAGCTGCAGCCGGAGCCAGAGCAGGTGACCCCTGTTGAAATAATAAACACATTTTTATTGGGCTGCAAACATTTATATATAATAAATATAAATAAATATTTATATAAATACTAGCTGAAATATAAAAATTTACATAGAAACATTTCATTACTGATGTTTTGTATTACTTACTTCCACTCTGCGGGGTGCAGGGCCTGGTACAGCCTCCGGAGCAGCCACTGGAGCTGCAGCCGGAGCCGGAGCAGGTGACCGCTGTTGAAATAATAAACACATTTTTATTGGGCTGCAAACATTTATATATAATAAATATAAATAAATATTTATATAAATACTAGCTGAAATATAAAAATTTACATAGAAACGTTTCATTACTGATGTTTTGTATTACTTACTTCCACTCTGCGGGGTGCGGGGCCTGGTACAGCCTCCGGAGCAGCCACTGGAGCTGCAACCGGAGCCGGAGCAGGTGACCCCTGTTGAAATAATAAACACATTCTTATTGGGCTGCAAACATTTATATATAATAAATATAAATAAATGACTGATGCTATAAATATAACTTACAGACACCTCCGCAGGCTCTACCAGCAACTCCGACAGGTCCCCCCATGACCTGTCAGACCGCACATAGCAAATTGGCATGCTCTGTTGAAAAATGGACCCGTTAATATCTATAAGTGTCTATTTATCTATATTTGTGTGTGATGGTACATATAAATATTACTTACAGATACATCCCAGTCATCTTGTTCCCCAACCTCTTCATATACTCGATGGCTTCCTCCTCATTGAGAAGGACCTCGATGAAGACCTGGGGAACTGGGTTGTTTCTGGGGTTCCACATGCTAAAAAAAGAAAATAATAATTGTTACATACCATAGTACATAGTTATGCCTATCATATTATAAATATAGGGAAATATATATATATATTCAGCAGAGAATATATAGACAATAGGGTCATATTGTTATTATATCAGCAGAAATTGCTATATACATACTGAATTTATCCAAATGAAAAAAAAAGTGAAGCACATATCTGTACAATAAAAATACGTAAAATTTATCAATTTTTTTTTTATAAATATCTTCATATCGATCGCCTTATCGATAAAATTCGCGCAATCCCTCCAAATATGCTAAATATGGCGAAATATTTGAATTGTTATATAGGTATTGGACCGTTTTATGAACAATTGTATAGGTTATGATACAATTTTGATAGGAAAAATGAACGAAATCTTGAAGAATATGAAATTATCTCGTAATTTCATTAGAATTTTACCGTATTCAATTAAATTTATCCGTAAAATATAGACATTTACATTTACTATTTCGTTTGAACTTTACGTCATTTCGATTTCAAACTATTTTTAGCATTCACTTTATGCCACAAATTATATATCTACAGGTTTGTTATATCACAAGGATTACAAAAATGTATAATACTTACGTTTTTCTCACAGACAAAATGATAAATTAGTTTATAAGAATTACAGCACTCGTGCACGACGCGCGACGCGTAATGGCGGAAATCATAGATAAATAAATACGGCGGAAATCCAAAGTGAATTCTTTTTTTTTTCTAAGAAACATTGCCAGGTTACGTTTTAAAATAAAAGAGCATATCCTTGTCTTTGGTACTATTATCTATTGCATAGTGTCATTTTGTTTAAAACGAAAAAATAGTTTTTTCATAGGGCAGTAATTCTGATCTAATTAGTGTTCTTTTGGAGCGAACGTAGGTAGGTATTGTACGATCGAAAGTGCGCATGGCTTGGTTAACAGGCTTCATGTGTACTGTGTGCCTATATCCTATATCCTATCCTATAAAAAAAGGCCCCGTAGGAGATACGCGAGATAGTTCGGCTCAAGGTCGAGGCACTACGAGGCAGTACGGAGACATTGAGAAGAGAATAAAAAAGATTTACATGTTTATTTATTATATTTATTTTATTAAGTGATATTATTGATTTTTAAAATGAATTAATTTTGTATATATTCTCCTAACTGCACATTTTCCTTCCTATTATTGATTTTTAAGTATAAATGTCATTCTTGTGTCAGTATATTTCTTTATTATACTTTTCGTTAAATCAATAATATGATTGGTTTCTTCGGCGTAAAATTGATGATGTGTATACTCCGGGAATAATTGTTCTTCTGTAAAGCTGCTAAGAGCTTTATGGGTCAACAGTTCAGCGGTGATTTTTCCTATTATGTATATGTTATGTATCTGTCAATATCTAATATATTCAAAAGAACGATATCTAAATACAATAATCATTTTGTGGATAATTATCGACAATACGAAATAAATATACCGCACTGCACTAGTCATTAGCGTCACGAGGCTAATTATAATAAGGAGAGATAGACATACATGTTTGCAGTAAATGCAAAAAGGACGGGGAGTAACGCGTGGCGGACCTGTCCAGTTTAACTTGACCCTCGTTGCGTAATAAAAATGTTGAAAATATTTTGGTAAAATAAAGAAATGTACCTACCGATGAAAAGTAATATTGTTTGTTGTTACACTACATCTTTTACTGTTGTTCCCGCACCATTTAACGGCAAAACAAGACATGATGCCGTAAATTGATTTTAATTTATATTTTAAATGTAAGCCGCCTCTTCGGTTCTAGTTTTTGGTCGCTACTGGCGGGAGACAAAAGTGTTCCGAAATATATCAGTGACTAGTCACTGACGAGTTGACAGGTTCGGGTCGCCTTAACCCTATAGAGACGTACTCTATAGGGTTAAGTGCTCGTAGTTACCTAAAATCGCGACGCGCCCGGGCGAAATAACGCAGTCAGGGCTGGCGCGTTGGAGGCGATTGAATGTTAAAGTTTTTTTAACGCTGTTTACGTAAATAGTTTTATGTAAATAGTTGTTGAAATAGTTTTTATTTAGTGTTTAGTATATAAAAATAGTTGTAAAAGTTTTAATGTATTTTAAAAATTATATATTATGTAAGTATAATATAAGGGGGATAAGTCGCTCGCGTCCGTAGGCTTTGACCACCTAATCCTAGGCCCACCCTACACGTGTCCCCCGGGTGGTGCTAAATGAGCGACAAGCCGATAGCACAGACTCGGCTCCTCGCCGTGGTAGCGGCGTTAAATATACCACCCCATTCGCACCATGAGAAATCAAATTAAAAAAATGGCCCCGAGTTCCCGGCGCCCCTTTAATGGGGCAGGGGTGCGAAGAATCTCCGGGAGGAAAACCGGCGACGAGGTTCGCCACCCGTCACGTTCTGTCTCCCGGAGGGGCGAAAAGTGGATTGCAGAGGCCCGTCTGGCTACGTTGAATGTATGTGGAGCAATGAATGATAAAATGGATGAAGTATGCGAGGTGATGTACGACAGAGGAATAGATTTGTTATGTGTAAATGAGACGAAACGGAAGGGGAAGGATGTCACTATACATGGCATGTATACCGCATACTGGTCTGGTGTAGACGAGCTCGAGCGGGCATGCCAGGGAGTAGGTATCATCCTATCAGAAAGAATGGTGCAATGTGTGAAAGAGTATGAATGTGTAAGCCCAAGACTGCTATGGATACGATTGAAAGTGGGCTTAAAGAAGTTGTTTGTGCTAGGGGTCTACGCCCCAGACATGTCTAAGCCCACTCATATCCGAGAGCAGTTTTGGGAAATGGTAAGGATGGTATTAATGAAATGTAAGGGAAATGAAAATGTTGTTATGCTAGGAGATTTTAATGGAAGAGTTGGGGTGAGGAGGCTTGGTTATGAAAGGATATTGGGAACGTTTGGTGATGAAAGTATAAATGAGAATGGTGAAAGCCTCCTCACTGTATGTATGGAAAAGAATCTTTTTGTGACGAACACTTTCTTTCGCCACAAGAGGATTCACATGTATACTTGGGAAAGAGGTGATGATAGAAGCATGATAGATTTCATAATTGTGGATGATAGATTGAGGGGCGCAGTGGTGGATACAAGGGTTTACCGGGGGTCAAACGTAGGAACGGATCATTTTTTGGTTTTATGCCGAATTAATGGTCTAATCAGGCGGTGGCGCCATCGGCCATCTGTGTCTACCACTGCGTTACAGCGTATTAGAACAGAAAGATTACAAGATGAAGGTGAGAAAAACATGTTCAAATGTAGACTGAAAGAAAACGTAAGTGGATTGGATGAATTATGTATGAATGAGTTAGATTTGGAGAATGTATGGCAAAATGTTAAGAAAGGTTTAGTAGATGCAGCTACCGAAGTATGTGGTGTTAGTAAAAGAAAGAATGAAAGGAAAAATAATACGTTATGGTGGGATGATGAGATACGTACGGAAGTTGAAGCAAAGAAGAGAGCATGGCTAGATTTACTAGCAACTAAGGCTGGTAATTCTAGCGGTACGAATGATGATTTTGAAAGAAAAAAGGCAGTCTTTAGACATCTAAATGAAAGAGTAAAAGAAGTAGTTGAAAGGAAAAAGCAAGAAAGAACGGATAAGAATGATAGAAGAATATCGGATAACTTCCAGACAAATATTAAAATGTTCTGGAAACTCGTAAGAACTGCCAGGGGACGTTCAAAACAGCCTATAATGAATGCTATAAGAGATGAGAATGGCTATATTCTGAATGATGAAGTTTTGAGTTTAAAGAGATGGAAGGAATATTTTGAAAGCATGTTTATGAGTGAGGAGACAACGTATGAACTGAATGCAATAGGAACTCCGAAAGAAGAGGAAGGAGGTAGCGAGATAAGTATAGATGAAATAATGAAAGCTATGAAAAGCATGAAAGCAGGTAAGGCTGCCGGATATGATAGAGTTTCTCTCGAAATGCTAATGCTTTCTTCATCCTGGTTACCACATCATCTTGCAAACCACACTCTTCTCTTATTACACAATTCCTTACCCTGTCATTCAGATTCAGCCCTAACATACTCCTTAACGACCGCATTTCTACTGCGTTAATTCTACTCTCGTGCTTCTTCTGCCACACCCAACTTTCACTACCATACGTTAAAGTAGGGACCAACACAGCATTGTGAATTGCCAAACGTGCCTTTGTCGACACATTTTAACTCTTCACAATAGAGTGCAAGGCCCCATTTACTCTATTTCCCGCATTCACTCGTCGTTCTATATCCTTATCATATCTCCCATCCCTGCTAAATACGCAGCCCAAATATACAAACTCATCTACTTGCTCGATCAACTCACCTTCTATTCTTATTTCACAAATCGTTTTACTTTCTTCTCTTTCAAAAACCATAACCTTCGTCTTACTTGCGTTCACTTTCATACCCCTTTCTTTTAATGATCCGTTCATTAATGTAACCATCATTTGCAACTAGGCCGCCGACGACGCAAGAATAACTTGATCATCGGCGTACAAAAGGCATTTGACGGTTAACTCACCCATTCTTAATCCGCATTCTTCAACTTTCAAATTTTGCAAACAACTGTCCATAAATAGGTTGAACAGCCACGGGGAAGCCACACAGCACTGTCTGACACCATTATGGATGTCAAACCAGTCCGAGTAGACCCCGTTGATCCTAACACAAGCACTAGAGTCCCTATAAAGAGACTCCAATGCCTGTATCAAGCCAGCGCTCAACCCAAATGAGTTCAGTGTTTTCCATAGCAAATCCCTATCCACTCCGTCATAGGCCTTTTCCAAGTCCATGAACGCACAAAAAACCTTCTGGTTTTGGCCAGAAACTTCTCCGCGATCACGCGCATGGAAAAGACTTGATCTGTACATCCCATTCCCTTTCTAAATCCCGCTTGCACATCCCAAATTTTTCCATCAGTTTCTTTCATGACCCTTTCAATCAATACCTTAGCATACAGTTTTCCCACAATGATAAGAAGGCTGACGCCACGGTAATTTTTACAGTCCTGCTGCGACCCTCTTCCTTTATATACTGGGACAATTACGGCTTTGCACCAGTCTACCGGTACCCGCTTCAGTTCCCAGCATAAATTAAACAAGGTGTGCAACAGGCCTGCCACCACTTCCTCTCCAGCCCTTAGCATTTCGAGTGAAACTATCATATCCGGCAGCCTTACCTGCTTTCGTGCTTTTCATTGCTTTCATTATTTCATCTATACTTATCTTGCTACCTCTTTCCTCTTCTTTCGGTGTTTCTACTCCACTTAGTACACACGTTGTCTCCTCACTCATAAACACGCTTTCAAAATATTCCTTCCATCTCTTTAAACTCAAAACTTCATCATTCAGAATATAGCCATTCTCGTCTCTTATAGCATTCATCATAGGCTGTTTTGAATGTCCCCTGGCAGTTCTTACAAGTTTCCAGAACATTTTAATATTTGCCTGGAAGTTATCCGATATTCTTCTATCATTCTTATCCGTTCTTTCTTGCTTTTTTCTTTCAACTACTTCTTTTACTCTCTTATTAAGATGTCTAAAGACTGCCTTTTTTCTTTCAATATCACCATTCGTACCGCCAGAATTACCAGCCTTT